GTCTTTATATATATTAGGTGTATGGTGTATCTGTTGCTGCAGCGGTGACGATGCAGCAGCACCAGCAGCAGCAGCAGCAGCAGACTCTGCTGCTGCTGCTGCTGCTGCTGCTGCTGCTGCAGCTGGTGATGATGAGGGGCCAAAAGGACCTGTAGATACACTGGAGTCTATCCCTGAGCTGCAAGGAAGAGAAGACGAAAAGATAGAAACACACGAATACCAGGCGGAGGTCACCAGGTTAATGGATATAATAATAAACTCATTATACACTCAAAGAGATGTATTTTTGAGGGAGTTAATATCTAATGCTGTAGATGCCCTAGAGAAAGCTAGGTTTCTCTCTCTCACCAGCGAAACAAACAGCAGCAGCAGCAGCAGCAGCAGCAGCAGCAAGGCAGCTGAGCTGGCTGTGTATATAGAAGCAGACCCGCAGAAGAAGATGCTCTCTATATGTGATACGGGTGTAGGTATGAGTAAACAAGAACTCATAACAAACCTAGGTACTGTAGCCAAGTCAGGCACAAATAATTTTTTAGAGTCCGTGCTAGCCAACAGCAGCAGCAGCAAGGACAGCAGCAGCAGCAGCAGCAGCAGCAGCAGCAGCGGTGGTGGTGATGTTTCTCTCGTGGGCCAGTTTGGTGTTGGTTTTTATTCTGCTTTTCTTGTTGCTGATAGAGTTCGTGTTATATCGAGAGCAGCAGGAGAAGAACAATATATATGGGAGTCAACAGCAGATGCTAAATATTATATAAATAAAGACCCAAGAGGAAAGACAATGAATAGAGGTACATGTATTATATTATATTTAAAGCAAGATGCTACGGAGTATTGTAATATAGAGAATATAAAACAAATAGCCAGCAGATATAGTCAGTTCATGGCTTATCCTATTTATATTAAAAATAAACATATCGTCACCGAAGAAATACCAACAGAAGAAGAAACAGAAACAGAAAAAGAAAAAACAGAAAAAAAAAAAGAAAATGATGATGAGGTTGAGGTGCAGGATGTTGATGAAGACGCGGAGAAGGTATGTTTTCAATAAAATAAAATAAAAATAAAATAAAATAAATAAAATAAAATAAAATAAATAAAATAAAATAAATAAAATAAATTATATTAAAATTAAAATAATTGTTTAGATAGAAAGAGAAAGAGAAAGAGAAAGAGAAAGAGAGGAGAAATGTGCTGATCGTATGTGTATGCAGTGATAGATTTCAGGTGTATATACACCACAAATACATTACACCTTCTTTATCATTCCTTCTGCTGCTGCTGCTGCTGCTGCTGCTGCTGCTGCTCCTCCCCCTCCTCCCCCTGCTGTTGCTGCTGCTGCTGCTGCTGCTGCTGCTGCTGCTGCTGCTGCTGCAGGAGAAGAAGAAGACGAAGACGGTGGAAAGAGAGGTGTATAGATGGGAGCGTATAAACGAGCAGAAAGCAATATGGTTACGTCCACGAGAAGAGATAAGCGAAAAAGAATATAATGAGTTTTATAAATCTATAACAAAAGACTGGAGTGNCGTCCACGAGAAGAGATAAGCGAAAAAGAATATAATGAGTTTTATAAATCTATAACAAAAGACTGGAGTGAACCATTGGTCCATATACATTTCACAGCAGAAGGAGAAGCCGAGTTTAAAGCTTTATTATATATACCTAAACGTTCTCCCGCAGATATATTCTCTCAATATTTCGGTAAACAAACAAATATAAAACTTTATATTCGTCGTGTTCTTGTTGCTGATATGTTTGACGATATAATACCTAAATACTTACATTTTATACGTGGTGTTGTAGACTCTGACGATCTCCCTCTTAACGTATCGAGAGAACAGCTGCAGCAACATAAAATATTAAATATAATAAGTAAAAAAATAGTAAGGAAAACCCTAGATACAGTGCGAAAGATGTATATAGAAGGAGAAAAAAAAAAACAAGAAGAAAAAAAAAAACTGGAGGAGACAACGGATGAAAAAGAAAAAGAAAATATACAAAAAAATATTAAACAACAACAAACTCTATTTGATTTATTTTATAAAGAATACGGAAGAAATCTTATGCTAGGTTGTTATGAGGACGATGAAAACAGAAAAAAAATAGCAAAAGTATTGAAGTTTTTTTCTAGTTTTTCTATAGATGAACCTATATCTATAGAAACATATATAAATAGAATGAAACAAACACAAACATCTATATTTTATGCTGCTGGGGAAAATATACAACAGCTTCTCTCTCAGCCACAAATGCAGTATTTCAATAAACATAATTACGAAGTTTTATTTCTTCTTGAGGCCATGGATGAACCCTGTATACAAAGACTCGGTGACTTCGATGGTCAGAAACCCTAAACCCTCATAAACCCTAAACCCTAATACTAAACCCTAAACCTTACTAAACCCTATGCTTTTAGGGTTTACAGTAATCCTTTAGTTGGGGATTCGAGGGTTTAGGGAATATGTTATCTATGGATATATATGATTCATGTTCTCTATTGGTGGTTTAGGGTTTAGGGTTTAGGGTTTAGGGTTTATGTTTTTCCTTTTATTAGGGTTTATGATGCGTGTATAAGCACTAGGTTGTTTTTTTTTTTTTTTTTTTTTTTTTTTTTTTTTTTTTTTTTTT